ATGGCAGCCCCTCTGCTCATGTCTAATGATCTGAGGGACATTTGTCCTCGCTCCAAGGAGCTGCTGCAGAACAGACACATCATAGCCATCAGCCAGGACCCTCTGGGCAAGCAAGGATACCGCACTGCCAAGGTAAGTGAGGGGAGACACAAAGCAGGATCACCTCCTGGAATGACAGCTGTCAGCCTTTATAGGACATTTAGTTTCTATATAGGAATCAAAGTGCATTGTGGTCGTCTTGGCAAGGTCTTGCAGACAAACTTTTAGCAGTGATATTAATGAAACTGATCAATGTGGGGCAGACAAAGTAGTAATGCCAATTCCAAGCATGAACTAGTACTACCATCTGTTGTCAAAAGTAAATAAATCAGGATTTATTCTACAGGTGGACAGTTTTGAAGTGTGGGAGAGGCCTCTGTCCAAGAACCGACTGGCTATTGCCATACTGAACAAACAGGAGATTGGTGGTCCCAGAGGGTTCGTCATCAGAGCAGTTCCTGGCTGGAAGATCTGTGACCCCCAGTGTAACGTCACACAGATCCTGCCTCAGTACAAGGAAATGGGTGTTCACACTCCACAAAGCAAAATGGTAGTAACTGTCAACCCTTCAGGCACGGCTCTACTGACTGTCACTCCAATCAGCAGCGGCTTTAAGGCTCTTAACAAGGTGCACTAGCAGGACACGTCTGTCAAATGCAAGCACACCATCGTGTTGTAGTCCTCGGGTGGTTGTGCACTGCCAAAACAATTTAACTGCTTTAAGTGGAACATTGTTTTAAATTAAATATGAACAGATTAAACAGTGGGTCTAAATTTAAAAAAGGGAAAATGTTTTATAGTCTGCTTTCAGCTTGGATATGAGGATTACAGTACACCTGCCACTTTTTATGTTGAATAAACCACTGGAAATGTTTTTACACACCGCTTTGAACTGACTATGCTGTTAAATTATCTAAAGCTTAAGCTTGAATTTTGCACATGTGACAGGTACAGTGAAACAGACGAAGGAAGTATGTTTTAATACATTTATTGAAAATCGTGACAATTTCCTCCAGAAGACTGGACCACAGTTTAAAACTGGATGACCTGGCCCTGTAAGAGAACAGATGGAAAACTTTAGTTAGAATGATGCTCAGGTAGAGTTGAACACAGATGTGTCAATGATATATGGTTCAATCTAAATGCTGCTGGAAATGATAGAAAATGTCTAATCTATGATGATTTTGAACTTTTGTACTGTATTCAAATAAAGATTTCTAATTAACCAGGTTCACGCATTTGTTGGCTTAACCCCTCATCAAAAGCAAACTCCAGCAAAGTATTATCATGTGAAACATTTTACTTTATATAAGGGCTACATGATACAGTAAAAATCAGATTATTCTGACACATTGGGATTCACAATTATGTGGGAATGATAATTTTCACAACCAAAACAGGATTAAAATCTTGATTTTACATTTTTGGGAGTCTGTACTTTGCACTTGGCCATATTGCGATTGATAATATATCGATTAACTGTGCAGCTTTACTTTATATTCTACCATATATATTACACCATCTTACTCTGATCATAAAACTTAATGTTAATGAGGAAGGGTGAGAACTTAATGATGAAAATCCATTACATAAATATGCTACATAATTGTTCCTTCATCTCATAAAAAGTAAAAAAAAAAAAATACGCTCCCTCAATGTCAAAGAGCAGGCGCCACAATCTCACAAGCTATATCTTTATGAAATTACACTTTAATGAAACTAGAAATTACAGTTTTTAATGCCATCCTCAGTGGGACCGTCTGAGTTCATGAGATAATGGCCTAGCAACGGTTCTTGATTTTCCTTTTGGCATTAAGGTGTTATATGAATCAGTTACACCAAATTAAGATCTAATTTTCCCTGAAATTATATTCCAATATAAATCCTTCCACAACCACCAATTTACAGGCAGTTATGGTCAAGAATGGGATTAAAAGCTATTAATCACTCAAATTTTATTTTATTAATTTAAGGTTAAAACAGACAAACGGAGCATGAGGCCAGAAAGAGGCAGCCAATCTGAGCAATTTCTATAAATGTTTACCAAAACTTTGTGGTATTGACCTCAATGCCACATTATGCTCCACACATTAGGTTTGGTAACTGGACCAATATAATGATTCCTTATTCTTCCTCAGGATATAGTTCTTTCCCATGTTTTTTCCCCACCTCCAGCATCATGATTGCAATAAAAATTAAAGTATTTGCACCAAACCAAATTAAAAAGCAATATTGAATCCTCTGCTATTGAGAGCAAAATGTGCTACGGTCAAAGTCTAAGTCCGGTCCAATATGTATGACCGGCATCAACAATTCTCAGACACTTTCTCGTCAATATTTCACCGTTCTCTCTGTATCATGAATGTTCTCCAGCTTTGACTCTGACTAATGTGTCAATTTCTTGACTCCACTTCCTTGTGGAAATGTTTAAGTACAAAAATTGTACATTCACAAGTTAAATCCAAATAAATTCTATTCTCCTCTACAAGTGCAAGATTTTAAACCGGTAACACTGACAAACTCTCAGTGAAATGTGTAATACAATAGGGAGCAATGTTCCAGTTCAGCCGAATATATCAAAATCTTACAGACCTAAGTTTTCTGGATAATTTTGCAGCTGTTGTATCAGATTGTAATGTAACCAGAGTAAGACTTCAACATATAGAAGATGACATACACATTTTGGATATTGGATGGGCAATGTTATAGCAAATATCGGCCTTTCACAGGCGTATTTGTTTGTGTCACCTGATACGAAAACATTTTTTGCTGCTATATAATGCAGAAAAGTGTTTACACAACACTGATGTTTAGCTACTATTTTTATTAATTTATCATGTTAACATGTTATGTTTATGAAAGCATCCTTCTGATAACCTTTGCTGAGATGGCTTTAAAAACACATCAGTCAGGGCCCCATTTCTGAGTAACTTGTTTGAACCATGTGGATAGATTATTATTATCCATTATTTAATTTCCTATGGACAGTCATCACACACTGCAAAATGTGCTTTAGACCTGAGACCTTAATCTTTACAATTCAGACAGCATTCAGGGAACACATGCATACATTGCTAAATAAAATGACTTCAGTGACGCCTACCTTTCTCTTCTTGTCACCACCCAACTCGAAGTGCTTGCATCTCTTGATGGCCAGCATTCTCTTGGATCTGCAGTTGGGCTCCACACACTCAAGCCTCAACACAATCTTCTTTGTGGTCTTTGCCTGAAAACACACAGTATATCACTGGGTCTAACCTCACACACACAATCCTTGACACAACAGATCGAACAGAACTAGAAAGCTGAACATACCTTCTTTCTGAAAATGGGCTTTGTCTGACCACCGTACCCGCTCTGCTTTCTGTCGTATCTCCTCTTACCTGCAGAATAAATACAGATCAGCTACACTTCATGGCACAACTCATTCATTCTCACACACACACACATATATATATGTAAGGGTTTATTTGAGTGCGTACCCTGTGCGTAAAGGGAATCCTTTCCCTTCTTGTACTGGGTAACTTTATGGGGTTGGTGCTTCTTGCACTTCTTGCAGTAGGTCCTGCGGGTCTTCGGGACGTTCACCTAAATAACACACAATATTAACCGTAAACATTTTTGCATAACACTTAATGACAAAGTCAAATATTTCAAGTTAAATCCCACTGATACTTTCACTAACGATACATATAAACAACGCCAGTCGGTGTAATTAAAAAGGCCAATGTTAGAGGGCTTACTGACAACTGCTAACCATTAGCATTCATTCGGCTAACTATCTGGCTATACGTGGAGTATAAATGGACAGTTTGTCAGAAGTAATCTCAGTCGGTATTATGTCACATTGGTACATTTATAAACGTCCCGTTAACGAGCAGTAAGTTCGTGTTTAACATTTCAACATGTCAGCGCCTCCCTCAGAGTAAAAGCTGCTAACGTTAGCTATCACGCTAACATGTTAGCATTGTAACCACGCAACGTAAATTCACATAAACATGTTCATGTGCAACAGGGTAACAAGGTACAATGATTGTTATTTGCCGTAGCTGTTAGTTTGACTGACATCTAAGTTAAAATGCCTCTAGAAAGAAGAAAGGCCGGTGTGAGTGCATGTACGTTTCACCACAAACTCAGCAAGCATTGCTCAAAGACTATTTAACACCGTAAATGTACATATGGCGGCTAATACTGCCACCGACGTGTGTATAAAGACACTGTTAACATATCACAGTTAAACAAGCGCAGTAATTATTTCTTAATCGGCAAGATTGAGTTTGATTCTGTAAAAAAGTATTGGTGTGATTATTTCATACCATGGCTGCGACCCGATGCAGAGGGAAAGAGGAAGGACGAGACCGGAAGGAGTCCCTAATGTAGACCCGGTGGAGAGGCTGCACAGTCTGCCCCCTAGCGGCGGGACACAGCAGGAGGGCCAAAACTACAAACAAACAAGCTAACAAAGAGGTCAAACTTTAAGTAATGCAGAGGGTTACACATTTAGTGTTTGTTAAACACAATGAGCTGACTTTCTGCCGGCAGAGAGGATCAGTTTAAAGTGTATTCATTTCTTGTGCCTGCACTATTTAAAATGGCAGTGGACTGCATGAGAAATCCCCTCAAATAAAAGTGTTTAAACTAGGCTATGTGGAGCACACAAATATGGTCCTGTGTTAATGTTTAGCCCGCTTCCACTTATCACCAAAACTGTCCAGAGGGCTGATATGAAAATGAGCAGGAAGAAAAAGGGGAAGTAAGCAGAGCCAATTCCTCTCTGTGGGTGGGTTTAAGTTTCTTGCATCACAGACCAACACACATTTTATGGAAGACGAGCAACTGAGGCAAAGGTTCAAGCCTCAGCATCTATAGTTATCTGTCTGATGCGTTACTTTTTTGGGTGTCTGGGTAAGTGACGATGCTCTTTGAATGTAAGATCTAAGGTCAAGATGTATTTGTAGTCATATGTTCACTTCAGTGTAAATTATAATAGAAGCTGTATGAATGCATTTCATTTGAAAGGTTATGGACAAAAGAATCAGAATCAGAAATACTTTAATAACAGTCTTAGTAAGTATTATGTAGAGTTCAACAAGTACTGAAGTGAAACCCACTAATATTCAGTTTGTATGCAAATCATTACAAAACTACAAATACAGAAGTCAAATAATAGCGACATTATCAGCTAAAATGCAAAGATGTTGTTTCTGAATGTTTGGTTAACAGTGATGGACTATGGTGTATTCTGCTGTACTTGTTGCATGTCTTTAACTCTTCTTGCTGCAGTAGAGGGGTTTAGATGTGTGGTGGGGTTATAATCAGATAGGATCTCGTGGTCACCCTTATATATGTGTAGTATTCTGTGAATTAGAGAGCACTTGAAAACTTTACAAATGAAGATGTTTCTCTGAAGTTACCTTTACTAATATGCATCATAGGAAAAGCTAATGGTTTCTTGTGTATTCTGAAAATAGATTTCCACAGAACACCACAATATTAAATTAATGTGGTTAACATGTAATGTGTATATGTGTAGGGCAATTCTTTATGGTAAGATTTAACCCTCCTGGTTTGTACTGAACATCCTTGTCAACGCTCTTTTTTCTCTCACAGTCTCTTTTATATACACACACTCACAACACTTACACACACACACACACACACACACACACACGCACGCACGCACTCACACACACGCACTTTGTTGCATACACCACTTATCTGTCAGGAAACGTCAGGAAAGAGAGCATCTTGACAGGTTCCTGTTAACCCAAGTCTTTCATGATATGGTTATGTTTGCTGTGTCATACATAGCAACAAAATACTAACTTGCACGCTATCCTACATATTAGTGTTAATAACTCATTAAATTCAGCCCTTTTCATTTTAAAACATGTTGCACTTGCTTGCCCATACTGAGGTGGTGACACAGCTGGCAATATATCTGGGTTAGAAAGATCAGTGGCCCATCCTCCTGACAGCCACCAACGTTATAAATGGTGAAAATATATTCAAATATATGTAATCTTGTGATTAGATGATTGTGTGAGATAAAGCATTTTTTTTTAAGACACACTTTGGCTACTCTTGACTTTTAAGTTTCTGAAAAGTAAAATACGTAGAAGTACATAGAATTTCACAACCCAAGAACACCCAAGCAACTGAGAAGATCAGCCTTAGAAAGTGAGAAAAAAACTTCTCACTGCAAAGTGTTAAAGTGTTGTCATGAGTGTGCAGAGACAGAGGCACCTACATTACTGAATATTGTACATAGTTGTCAGTGTGTAAGTCATAAAGTGATGTGTAACAGTATACATAAATGTTTAAGTGTGCTAATGAAAGATAACTACATTTGAGAGAGATAATGTCAGGTTGAAGTGCTGCAGGGCCACTGTGTCTCTTCTCCCTTCATATTGCAGTAAAACACTGATGCAACTTCCCTATGAGTTTGTCTGTGTCAGCCACTGTGAGTCAACTCCCTTCAAAAAAGAAACACCAAAAAAAAACCTTTTGGCAGCCACGATACAGTCAAATACAGGCGTACAGTTCCAGTCGAATGTCTCCAATTAATCACAGCAAAAGAGAGAGCAGGGATGGTACAGCGATGGTTTTATCTGTAGAGTTTGTTGACCTCTACTCAAGTTAGTGATGTGAGAAAACATTAGGTCATGACAAATGAGGAATGAATAAACAAAGTTTCACGGAATGGGGAACAATGCTGTCTGTTCATGACGGCACAAACAAAACCATCAGGTATATTCAGTGTCCTGTGAAGAAATGTCTCACTCCTCTTCTTTAGCAGGGAGTGACAAAAGCTTCTGGTAGTGTTACACTTCAGATGATAGAAGGAAGTGCTCACAAGCTGAAAATAGGCTGAGCTGAAGTACAAACACATCTGAGAGAGACTAACAGACAATGAGCATTCAGCTGTGGGACGAGGGTGAGTTTGATCTGATAGTCCATGTTTCACCTGGCAATATGAGGCTATGACTGCCTACCTTTATGGCATTGTGTACTTTAATATGTATATGTGAATAGTGCCTTTTCCTAAACGTGGTTGATGTGTTTTTAGTTTTAGCTCTGAATCAGTCAGTTGAAACTAAATCTGACCTTATTGCCCGTTTCATAGCTGGCCCGTCACTGGTGGATCTGTTGATGTTAAATGGAGACAAATTATTCAACAACTCAAGGAACTTTTCACTGTTTGTTGCAGCATTTGTGATGATTTTGTTCCTGTACTGTCAAAAACCTTAATATACTATATATATATATATATATATTTGTAAGAAGAGTGTCTATTTTTTGTTGTTTTAGTCTACGTTGTAGTGACAGATGTTATATCGTTGTCCCACTCCACTCTCATCCACTGTATGGTGTGAAGAAGGGGCCATGTCTTGTTTTTGAGGTGCAAGTTTCAGATCAACACAAAGTGTTTAGCAGATGCCTACATTACTTGCAGGTAAAATGGTGAGATTGTTTGAGTTTTACTGTAAACACCAAAGAACATACATTTTAATGTGTTATATGAACTGTAATACCAGTATAATAACCAGGTTGCTGGATCCTAAAAATACCTTTCAAAATCAGGTTATAAAAAGTAATAGTGTTTGTGTGTGTGTTTGTGTGTGTTTGTGTCTGCATAACGAACTGCAAAGTTTCCCAACCAAAGACTAATACATTTATGTGACATGAAATACAATCACCAAAACCTTTTGGATGCAATTGATTGTGTTTTACTTGATACAACTTCTAATATCACAACAATCCAATCAGTGGATAAGAAGAGGAATAATGGAAACCCATCATATTAGGAATATATAGTAGACAAGACACACACTCCAAAATCCTCACACAGTTTCCCAGCACAGACAAATTTGGGTCACTGAGCTGGTGTGATGATGACGAGGATACAGTAGCTGAGGGAAACAGATGTGCCACGGGAGGGAGGGGGATTTTGGAAACAGAGGATGTTGCTGGCAGTAAAAGCAGGGCATATGCAAACTACAGCTAATCACATGCTGATATGTGCTCGCGCTCATGCTGCATGTCTCTTCATCTCTATCCAGATATCTCACCTCCTATAGTGGCATTGCTCCAACTCTTTTAAGAGTGGTTACATTTTTAACTTAAATTCTGTGAAAATACGCTATCCAAAGGAAGTGAAAACACTGAATAAATAAGTGTGAAGTGCAACATCAACTCCCTAACATTGCTAAGCTAAGCACAGCAATAATGGGTGTCAGTCACAGCTCTCATAAAAGTGATTACTGCCTGAGTCGAGGTGTGAATGAGTGTGTTCTTCTGCCACAGAGAAACAGCAGGCTGTTATGCTGCTGTTGTCCTTAACAAAACTATTAATCATTCCTTGTTTCCATGTAGATTAAATCTGACTGAAACATGTCAGACAACATACTGGAAGAAATCTTCATTAAACGATCTCAACAGAAGAAGAAGACCTCTCCTTTGAACTACAAGGAGAGATGGTTTGTTCTCACCCAGGAAAAAATAGCCTACTATGATTTTGATCCGGACAAAGGGGTACGTATATGGAACTGCAGATATCCTGTAATGAGATAGCGTCACATTTTGTCTCAGATTAATGTTTGCTGGTGACCTTAAGAGAACTATGCAGCTACATAATGTCTGAAGGTAGCTGACTGTTTCCCCATCTGTTAAGCAGAAGCGAAAAGGTTTGAGAGGATCAGTTGACCTTGAGAAGATCAAATGTGTAGAGACGGTCCAGCCGGAGCCCAATGCCCCGCAAGAGCGCATATATGCTTTCCAGGTAAACATGTTTGTCAGCTGACATGTCTAACGGAGAGGGCGGCCGTTCAGATATCGCCTTATGACAGTCATGAAGGTTACAGACAAAGTTGCAACGATGTGTAATATTCCGGCCATTTTACATTCTCGCTGGTCTGAAATCAGGACCAAAAACATTAACTTCTACCTCTATGCTGGTGTTGATTTTGGAGATGGAGAGAAACTGTCCCAGATCCCAATATCAGTCACTGCAGTCTAATACTGATCCATAAAATTATATTCAAACATGTCACTAATCAAAAAACATGTAGAAGCTGCAAGGGGCGACACGTGGGAGGTTTTCTCCTTGTCAGATAAGACCTCCCCAATTCTCCAGTAGTTAATATTGTGAAAGTCCATTGTTAAGAAGTGAAACCATCTCTCACAATCAAATGAACTGGGGACTTTCAGCGCGTGTGCAGGTGTTGCTTTGCACACATGTTGACTCACAGAAAATGGTTGCATTAAAAAGGTGTCTGTCTGGCACATGACATGAAAGAAACCCCTCCAGCTAGAGTTTCTGTCTTGCCTTTGGTACACCTATCGCAGTATAGTCTGGTATCACATGTACTTTTTGAGCTAGTAACTTTAGAGATACAAAATATTTACATAATATACCAACTTTAAATAAAAAAAAAACAGCTGATGGGTATCTCCTTCTTCATTTTTGCTACAGATCGTTTATGATGAGGGACCGCTATACATCTTTGCAAAGAGTGAGGATATCCGGGCTCAGTGGATAAAGAAGCTGAAAGAAAGTTAGTATGCATGCAAATTTACATTTATATCTAGTGTTTGTGTGTCACTCACAGTATCTCACACAGTATATGCTATATTACACCATATCTTAACATCGGCCCGTGGCACCACAACAGAAGAGCTGGGTGCATATGCAAATGCTAATGTTGATTTAATGTAAATGGCCTGTGTATGTGTTCGTGTGTGTGTCCATACTTGCTCATAGTGGTGCGCTTCAACAAGGATCTCATGCATAAGTACCATCCTTGTTCCTGGATGGATGGGGTGTGGCTGTGCTGCCAGCAGGAAGTTAAACAAGCCATGGGTTGCAAGGTGCTGGATAGTAAGAACGGTGAGAGCGAGATTCCCTTTGGTTTTAAATCTGCAACAGTTGACAACTAAACTTTAGCTTGTGACAAAATTATTTAATTCATATGTTAAATTATGTAACTAATAGGATTTACATCTAAAGCATCTCGGCGAAGGGGGTCCAGGAAACCTCTTCCACCTACCCCGACAGAGGTATACACATAGTTCAATTAGAATAATATTCACTGATTACAGATAGTAATTTTTAAATAATGCATCCAATAATCTTACACTGTTTCAGGAGAAGCCTGGTCGACCTTTACCTCCACAGCCTCCTGAGCCATCTGCCCCCTCAGTAGGCATGACTGTCATAGCTGAGTACAGTTACACGCCCATGACACCCCAAGACCTGGAGCTGAGGAAGGATGAAGAGTACACCATCCTGGAGATGTCTGATCCGAACTGGTGGAGAGCCAAAGACAACTATGGGTGAGAGGAAAAAGTTAACACAACAATCCGATAAAATAAAATTGAAGTATGAGTTCCGATAAAGAACAGTACACAGCACTATAAGTGGACACACAGACCTGAATATGTGTACAGATATGTTTTTACTGTATTTGACCAGATGTTTTTTTTGTCATTTCAATCATAATAAGAACATTTTGTAGTATGATCAGTAAAAAGTATAGATTACCGTACTGTTTTGTCTGTAATTTGAATGAAGTAAAACTGTTTATAAACAGGAGCAAGGATTTCTTTATGAGAGGCTGCTGGTGCTGGTGAGCACGTGACTGTCCAGCCGAGATGCACATTTGTTTGTGTATTTGTGTGTGTGCATGTAGACATTATTAAAGACAAAGACAATGTGTTTTGTTTTCTTTTGCAGGAATGAGGGTTACATACCTAGTAATTATGTTGTGGAAGCAGCAAATGGGATAGAAAAATTTGAGTGAGTATGGGTGCTATTGTTTCCGCTATTTTTATGTCAGCAGATTAATTAATGGTAAAGTTCATTGTCTGTATTTATGTGTTTTTGATTGCCGAAGCCATAAATGCTGCAAAAACCAAATTCAGGAAAAAAATTATTTCACATTTATTTTCACAGCTGGTATTGCAAGAATATGAACCGTAGCCAGGCAGAAAAGCTGTTAAAGACTGAGGTAAACTCAATGACATACACAATGTTATAAGAGGACAGCTATGGCTATATATGTGTGTGCACCTACAAAAAATTTGGACTAAATTTAATTTGAAACTTATGAAACATGTGTGTTGTTTCCCAGAACAAAGACGGAGGATTTTTGGTGCGAGACTCAAGCAAGGCTGGGAAATACACTGTGTCTTTGTTCAGTAAAGGTGGTGGGTGAGTAAGCTCAGTGGTGTTAAACACCCTCGTATGGTGCGCCATTTTTATACTATATCCACTGGCTCAAGTCATGTGTGAACGTATCAAAAGAAGAACTGTTTGTAATGAAAGCGGAAACAGTGGTCCACAGAGGGAGAGAGATGTAAATTATGTATGCAAAACCAGGACTAAACTGCCTCCACATCACACTGGCCCTAAGACTGTACTGTATCATGGATAACCACAGAGACATTAACTACTCATGCATACATGATATGTTCCTGTGTTGATGGAAACCTGTTAACTAAACCAACTTGAATTTATTCTTACTATTCTCTCCACAGGGAAACTGGTGGAAGCTGCAGACATTATAACATCTGCACCTCCCCGCAGGGCCAGTTTTACCTGGCAGAGAAGCATAATTTCAACACCATCCCAGAGCTCATCAACTACCACCAGCACAATGCAGCAGGTCAATACAGTGAATGTGTGGATATCTCACTAAACACATTTATTTAGTTTTTTCATACAATAAGATATAATTCAAATTTAGTTGTGGCAGCAGGGCAAAGGGGGTAGAAAGTAACGAAACATAGACACACAAACAGGATTTCAAAAAACAGAAACAGTCAAAGTCTAAATATTGACCTTACAGGTAATAACGTGGTTTTGTCATCTATCACCCTCACTAGGTATGGTTAGCAGGCTGAAATACATTGTATCTAACCGGGCACGGCCTCCATCAACAGCAGGGCTTGGCTATGGTAAGAGACTCTATCAGTATGACCTGAACTATAAGCCACAGAGCTCAACTACACAAGCTTTCTTGGCTTCTGAATATATTCGCTCATTAATGATAATGTCTGCTGATTTCTCTCTGGTGACTGATTAGACGTTTGTCTGTGTGTGCAATTAATAAACCACCAATTCTACAATAAACACTGCAAGAATTGTAATGATCATTCATTAGTAGTGTTTTGGGGCACATTTGTTATAGGTAATGAATCCCTTAATTGTGAAAGGAATAGTTTGACATTTTGGGAAATGCGCTTTCATGTCGAGAGTAAGATGAGAAGATTGAGCAGCAGCATGTACCATATCAACATGTAAAACATCATGTGGTTTTGCGTGGGGTTGTGTTTCCTGGCAGGGAGCCGTAACCTCCAGTGAAACCACAATGTGTCATTTTTTAAAAACCTTCTCTGTAGGTTCACTCTTTTGTAAAGATTAAACAAACTAAATAAACGTGTTAATTAGTGAACTTGCTGTTGAGCAGACTTTAAATACAAATTCCTCCTGTTTCCAGTCTTTATGCTAAGCTAAGCAGTTGCTGGCTAGCTTCATTAAGACATGACAGTGGTATCAGTCTTTTCATCTGACTGAAGTGTATTTCCCAAAATGTCAAACAATTCCTTTAATGTGGATGCTGTGAGTATAAAAGTGCTCCTCCATTCTCTATTGTTTGCTCCAGGCGTGTGGGAGATTGACCCCCGTTACCTCACCTTCATCAAGGAGCTAGGCACTGGTCAGTTTGGAGTGGTGAAGTATGGCAAATGGCAGGGCAAGCACGACGTTGCCATTAAGATGATTAAAGAGGGCTCCATGTCTGAACAGGATTTCATAGAAGAAGCCAAAATCATGATGTAAGCAAAACTGAATGAGCCTGAATTTGGACTGAGCTGGGTATTCAGCTGCAACACTTGAACTGAATACAGTTTAAATGAAGTTAAAAATAACTAAATTACTTTAAAAGACTAATAAATTTGATGTGTCACACTGAAACATGTAGTTTCTATAACTCGTAACTTCCTTCTCCTTTTGCTCAAACCAGGAAGCTTCGGCATGAAAATTTGGTCCAGTTGTATGGCGTGTGCACCAAACAAAGACCCATTTATATAGTGACTGAGTTCCTTTCCAATGGCTGCCTGCTGACCTACCTTAGGGAGGGCCTGAAGCAGCACCCAACAGCTGTCCAGCTCCTGGAGATGTGTAAAGATGTCACTGAGGGCATGGCCTATCTGGAGTCGAAGCAGTACATCCACAGAGACCTGGTGAGAGACACAAAGCAACACATGTGCCAGTACATTTCTAGATTGTTGTATCATGTTATGTAGAGAAATACTGACATTAGATATCCGAAGATAACAGTAAATGTTTAATGATTACACTCAAGAATGTTGTTTGTTTTGTCCTCAGGCTGCCAGGAACTGTTTAGTAGATGCCAATGGCACCGTCAAAGTGACTGACTTTGGACTATCAAGGTAAAATAGTTCACAAGTAAAAACAGGATACACAGAGGCACATTGGTGTCTAATAAAGTACGACACTAAACTCTGTTCTACTACTGTGGCTCTTAGGTACTTTACTGGGATATTTCCATTTACTGTGTATTTACTCCACTCATTTAATTTACCATTTTAGTTACTAGTTACTTTGTACATTAAGATTTGACAAAGATAACCTTACTATCAACTTTAACATAAACAGTATATATTTAGTATAAAATTAGCTCCACATCCACCAACAACAGTAAAATGCTACTTACAAATGAATGCATAAGTAATTATTATGTAACAATATAAAATATATTAAAATAACTCAAAGGGGCCATTTCTTCTTCACAATGAGTATTTTTAGTTTTTAAACTTTAAGTACAATAGTTGACTTCTGTCCTTTTACTTTTCTCAAAGAACTTTTAGGTGTATAGAGTATTTTTACATTGTGGCGTTTTAAGTGAAATATCTGATTACATCTTCCACCGCTGCCTCAGATATGTCTTAGATGATGAGTACACCAGCTCAGCAGGTTCCAAGTTTCCTGTGCGTTGGTCACCTCCTGAGGTCCTCCTCTACTGCAAATTCAGCAGCAAGTCAGACATATGGGCATATGGTGAGTCGACACAAAGTAAAGTTTCAACTGTCAGTTCCCTTCTGCATTTCTGGTCAGTGAAGTGTAATATGTGTTTAAATGTATTCACAAACTATGAATTACCCCCTATACTTAGGGGTTCTTATGTGGGAGGTGTACACTTTGGGACGGCTTCCGTATGAACGCCTTAACAACACGGAAATAGTGGATCAGGTGTCCCGGGGCCTGCGCCTCTACCGCCCCCAGCTGGCCAATGAAAAGGTCTACAACATTATGACAAGCTGTTGGCTTGATGTAAGTTACTTTTGTGGGCCTCAGTAGAGACTGTGACAATGACCGTGTACAGAATTATGATAGTGTTGTCAATATTTTCTCCACCACAATCTCATTTGTTGTGTTTCAGAAAGCAGATGAGAGACCCAACTTTCAGAAGCTGACACTGACTGTTCAGGATTTGCTGTACGAGCTCCAGTAGATCTCAGAATAATCCACACCAGCAGCGTACACACAGAAACAGTTCACTCTGATCCGCACAGAGCAGCATCTCCTCATGGCCCAGCAAAGTTAACACAATCATGAAAACGGTGAACAGCTTGAACACAGGACTGCACTGCCACACTGAGATCCTCTGTAATGTGAACATGTGTAATGTGAATGTCATTATAACTCATTGATTAGAATAGCCTTCCTATCACATTAGTGGAAGTACAGTCCAACAGACTAGCATTTAAAATGTGTATATTTTATTGTTATTGGATTTTAAAAAAGCCTATTGTTTATGTCTTTATTGTATTCTGTGTATTGTATTATGTGGAATCATTGTGAAATGTAGACACCTTTGCATGTTGAAACAAGCTCTGTGAGAACATATCTATTGCACAATAAAAGCCAAGTATGCCAGGCTTTGACTGAAACATCGTGTGAAACGAAAATGACTGTGACTCTTATTTTATAAAATATTAACTGTTTTTAATGTTTAATTAAAATAATATATCCGTAAAAATGTCTGTGAATGGTTACGTATTTATGACAAGTGCCCGCCGCCAAAAAAAAAAGGAAGAAGAAGAAGAAGAGTAACGTCAGAAGAACGCGCTCTGTGATTGGTCCAACTACTTCCTGATTCCCGTTGTCCATACATATGATACATACACGTGAAGGTCAGCAATAGAGCCATAAGGCTTTCATATTTACACAAAATATTGCTTTACGACCTAATTTTAGTTAGAGATGGAGGGCCAGGGAGCGACAGCCGACCCTCAGCTTCAGCACTTCATCGAAATTGAATCTCAGAAACAAAGATTTCAGCAGCTGGTTCATCAAATGACTGAGGTTTGCTGGGTAAGAGCAGTCTTAAGCTAGCAGTGGAGCTAGCTCTGCAGTTTGCTTTTCAAACATAACGCAGTGTTAGTTTGCCTTACTTTGAGAAAGAGAAGTTGTAGATCAGTTTTTTTTTATTTGCTGTGATCAGATAATGGTGGGCAGATGTAAACATTAGGTCACACGTAGTCCCGGTGTGTGACCCTTATGTCACTCCGTTGTTCGGTCACATTAAGTTTGTGGGCTTTTTCATTCTGCTGTTATTCAGCCACATGATGTTTCCTCAAGTGTCTCCGGGATCCTAGAGAGGTTTACTCTCAAATTGTTTGCAAAACTAATGTTTAAATATAATATTTCTCAAAACCTGCGATGAGCATTACCCCGGCCTGCTATAAGGGACACATTACCACAGTGGATTAAAGTAGATTATACCAATGAGGACGCAGCCTGCTGCTGTATAACAGAAAATAGAAAATAGAAAAACTTCAACCTCTTATATTTGCGACTGTAACCTGACCAATGAGCTGAGGTCACAAGCAGTACTTGCTGTAAAGCTTATTTGTCTCGCTTTCAACAGATGAGCTCTTGTAATACCTCGCATTAAGTCGTTGCACCTCCTCTAAATGACTCTGTCTGTCTCCAGGAGAAATGTATGGATAAACCCGGACCCAAGCTGGATTCAAGGACAGAAATGTGCTTTGTTAACTGTGTGGAGCGATTCATTGACACCAGCCAGTTCATCCTCAACAGACTGGAACAGACTCAGAAGAGCAAGGGCTCTTTCTCTGAGACCATGTTGGACTAAAAACATGTCATTGGAAGGATTGACAAGACACATGCCCACCGCCTTCTGCTCTGTGAGGAGGCCGTTTGGTCCTGACGACTGGCCGCCGGCTGCAGAACTGTACCTTCAAATGGAAAAAGGAACAACAACAAGTGTTACTTTTGATAAAAGTGCCTCAGATTAACACCATGGATGGACATTCAGAATCTAGGGTTTTATTTGTCCTCCGCTTTAGGTCAGTTGTTAGCAGAGACCTTATGTTAGTTTTGTCTGTCAAATCGTGGACTTCAGTTCACTGGTCAAACTATGAAATTGAGTTTTGAATGTGTCAGTATCCATCATTATAACAATTGGGTTGAGCGTGTGTGAGACTGCAAGAAATCTGGATGCATCTGGGACATTGAGCTTGCCAGATGTTTCTGACAGCTACAAGGATTCCACCGTACTCGGCTGTAATTTAAGAGAACTAACCATGTCTTGACTGAAGATGAGTGAGTTACCCGACTGTACGTATGCAATAAACAAAATGCCAAATAATTCTGTCCATCTTTTGGAAAATAATAATAATAATAATAATAAGTCAAGTAATGTTGTAGTCATGTTTTAATGAGCATTATCAAACAAACAAAATGTAACAGTTCTATCAGATATATGTTACGGCCTGGCACGTTGGGAATTCATTTATACAGGGAAAGAACATTCTTTGGTGCAGTTTGTATATAATACTGAGGTATTACAGTAATTTGTCAGAGCAATTAGTCAAACTTATTCATAAACAACATGATTGAAATGCATTCAGGGCAATCTCTGCCTTTACACTGGTCATAAAATACATTTGTACAAAACACTGATTAGCCATAACATGAGCACTGACCGGTGAAGTGAGTAACACTGATTATCTGGTTATCATGGCCCCTGTCAGTGGGTGGGATATATTAGGCAGAAAGTGAACATTTTGTCCTCAAGTTGATGTGTTAGAAGCAGGGAAAATGGGCAGCGTGAGGATTTGAGCGACTTTTTGACAAGGGCCACATTGTGATGGGTAGACGACTGGGTCAGAGCATCTCCAAAACTGCAGCTCTTGTGGGGTGTTCACGGTCTGCAGTGGTCAGTACCTATCAAAAGTGCTCCAAGGAAGGAAAGGCAAAGAACCGGAGACAGGGTCATGGATGGCAAAGGCTCACTGATGCACGTCAGGAGTGAAGGCTGGCCCATGTGGTCCGATCCAACAGACGAGCTACTGTAGCTCAAACTGCTGAAAAAGTTATTGCTGGTTCTGATAGAAAGGTGTCAGAACACACAGTAGATCACAGTTTGTTGGTATGGGGCTGCCCAGGTGGTCATAATGCTATTTATGGCTGATCGGTGTACATGCTAAGGTTAAAAGTGCAAAACTATGTATAAGGTTACTGATTTCAGAAGGCACAATCTGGCTTATGCAGGCTAAAGTTTCTTTAAATTCATATACTGTAAAGAAAAAATTTACACAACAGTGCAACAGACATTCAGACTGATATAAATTATACCACAGAATAAAATTCTGTCTTGTCTTTTTTTTAACCAAAGGAAAAACACAAGCTTGTAATATAATGTACAACTAAGAGTGTAAGTTCATACCGAATCCAGTGTGTTGATAGGACCATTATGCTCACTTTAGACAAGTTTGTTCATCCAGTGCATAATGCATTATATAAAGCAGACTCAAAATTCTGTTAGTCAACCAACTTGTCATACTGTAAAGCTGTAATGTGCATTAAAGCCTCAGAATTGCAATTTTTTTAAGTAATGACAAGACTAGTGGTCCTCTTTATGGAGCTCTCTGGTGTGTACCCCACCCCCCCTTTGAGCCTCCCTCTCTGGACAGCTTCATCTCATCCTCTGCTTGCATGTCATGGCTGGGAAGAGCCACAAAGGGCTGCTGCCCCCATGGAAAGCCCTGAGGACCCCTCCTCAGGTAGAGTGGGAGGGAATCCCCATTAAATGTAATGTCCTTGAAAGCATGGAGGAGGAAGATCCCCAAAATGATGGTGAGGAACCCGCTAATTGTTCCCACTACTCCGTCAGTGGTCATACTCAACCATTCCTTGAAGAGGATGGCAGAGCAGGCCATGACAGAGGTGGTGAAGAAGACGTAGTAGATGGGAGTGACTATGGAGGTGTTAAAGATGTCGAGGGCTTTGTTCAGGTAGTTGATCTGAACGCTGACACAGATTACCAGGCAGATGACTAGCGACCAGAAGAGGGGTTCCTTCAGCACTGCTGTCCCAGCAAACAGCTCCTTAATGCCAATTCCCAGGCCCTTGACACAAGACACAGAGAGGGAGCCAATCACAGAGCAGATCAGGATGTAGACCAGCACATTCTTCTGTCCAAACCGCGGAGCCACAGCAAAGATAAGAACCAGGCTGCTTCCCACAACGCACACAGCAAAGACAATGAAACCTAGTGGGAGCATTCAAGAATGAGTTAGTACCCTGAAAAAAAAAAAATAAAACATTCAGCTGTTCCTGGGGTTCAGTCCACACAGCCATGGTTAATATCACATCACAACGACTAAGGGCTGGTCCTACCTGGGTCTTTGAGCTTCTCGGCCATGGCACTGAGGGAAGCAACCTCCTCTTCCTGCGGGGCATGGATCACCATCACTGTGGAGCCCAGGACGCACAGCAAACAACCGATCTTCCCATGCACATTCAGCCTTTCATTCAGAAAGTAGGAGGAGAGCACGGCACTGGAAGGAAAAGCAATGCAGACACAGAGAGTTAGGATAAATGTTGTTACGAGGTATTAAAGGGAGACGTTTGATGATATACTGTCTTTGTTTTATTGTCATCAAATCTAATGAAATGACAAAAACCAACAACGCAATAGTCTGCCTCAATACTTCCCTGTCTGCTCTAAACCCAAAGTCCATTCGTTCTTAGTGAAGAAAATCTTTAAAAGTGAGTTACAAATATATGCTTTTATTTTTTACTTATGCAACTTATTTTTACAGGAGTATATACAGGGACTATTTTCAAACTTACACAGAATTAGAAAAAAAAAGCATGACTGTTGCATAACTTTTGCAAAACACCCTTTGGTGAGGGACAAGTAGAAATTACTTTGTTTTAAGGGGGTCAGAAGCCAAAAAGGTAATCCTGACTGGTCACAAGATGATTTGACTGATAATAACTGGTTAATAAAAACAACAATAGCAAGATCATCATTCATGTCGAGTTTGCATCGAAACAATACAAGATGTTTGCTTTTGGCCCGCAGCAACAAACACCAACGTAATGAGAGCAGTGGGAGTGAACAGCAACTACACAATGAGCTGAAAAAGGATCCAGGTGCTAATCCTCTATAGGTTCATCACTACGAGTTACTACTCTCACACTGTCATTTGATACACTGTCTATTATATTGATTTGTATAAGAAAACAAATGCTTTTATGACATAAAATATCATTCTTTTTGCAGACTTTCCTCTAAACTTCAGGCCGATAAAAATTCTTCAAATCAAAAATCACTCTTTAGTTGAGCTTCTCACAATACTCTTCTAGTACCTAACCTGTGATAAGGGTAAATAGTATCTAGATAGGGTAGATAGTATAATATATAATAATCTAGTAAATAAATATAGCTTCAGTTAAAGGGGTCACAAGCCAAAAACGTTGTGAACCACTGCTCCTGTGAGTATTTACGTCACCAAGATCAGTGCAGATGTTCATGGTAGTAAATGAATATGTAATCTAGTGCAACAATGAGGCTCAATTATGTGTTTTTAATCATTTTTGGACAACAATGGCCATCTACCACACAGAGGAATCACCTATATTAGGTTTACGGTTTACAGACAACAGATGTTGGTTCTGGTCTTTTCTTGGGATTTATTGATAATAATAAAGTTAGAGAGTTAAAGAGTTATCCGTGAATACTGAGAAGGCTAAAAGAAGACAAAGACAATTACCTTACAAGAACACTCAATGCTCCAAGAGGAGTCACCAGTGTGGCCGGAGCAAATGCGTAAGCAGCGAAGTTAGCGGCCTCTCCAGTTCCCACTGGAATATAAACATGAATTACAGAGGGTTAAAAGTTGAAATATTCAACCCACATGGGCAAATGTGCTCTTTGGAGGAATGTGCACTTCAGAGATATGGTGTGGGCACTGCATCTCCTGCCACATCACCAGCAAAAATACCAAACCCACAAGAGCGTCATCCCCGCCCTCTTTGAAAAACAAAGACCACAATGTTTCTGTGGCATGGCTAGTAAGCAGCGTAACCAAGTAAAAAAAAGAAAAGAAAAACAGCTGACCATGTCATCCATGTTTCAGAATTAAGTCTGTAAATCATTTACTCACTTGAAATAAGTCCTGCCCACCACAGCCATTCCTTCAGGTAGGCATACCCCCCTTGACCTGTGAGATACAGAACAGAAAAACTGGAGTTATTGTCATAGTTACTGTTACAGGTTTCTCACTTTAAATTATTCCAAACTAATTTTAACTAATGTTAAATTTACACACACACGTTGCCATCAAGACCTACCTTCCTTCCCCAGTGATATCTATAAAGTGCCCCCCCCCCACAGTGTTCAGATACTTGGCTATTTAAATTGTGTGCTACTTTATACCTACCTCACTACCTACATATAAAACATATGACCAGCTCATTAAATATGATCAACTGCTGTAGATTTAACTATCCAAACATATATAAAGTAGTTGAAATTAGCTCCAGGTTGACCAGCTACATTGTTGCTTACACAGTAATACATCAGTTATATAATACCATTAATAAACAACTGTTTTGTTGCTATCACTGTTCAAAAGTGAGGATTTGGCACTTTTTTCTTCTATAATAGTGGACTGTTGATGAGAACCAAACAATTATTTACATACAGCCCTATATGGCAATAGACAGGGATGACACTAGTATACTGCATACACACATATTGAATGTAAGACTTGTAGCATTATGGTATTGTTAGTTACCTGTAACTAAAGGTTGTGAGTATTTCCCACACTGACCTTCACAGACAGCTAAAGTTGAGTTAGATTTGAACAGAAGCGTACAGTACCTGCTCGCATTGAACCCTTGCTGGCCAATCGCAGCAGGCCTTTCTTCTTCAGAATGAAACTAGCGCCGATAAAAGCGCTGGAGCTCACCGCCAGAGAGAGACCGATGTAGAAGTCCAGACGGTTCACCTCCATCTGAAAACCACAGACTGGCGTCCCGACGTGTGATCAAAACAACCCAACTTCTAAAAACTAGAAACGAAACTTTCGGGAACTTTTCAGGAGTCGAGCAACAGCCAGCCCATGTTTAAAATCACATGATAGGCTGACTCTCTCTCCGGCGACGAGGCTGAAACTAGCTTTATATACGGCTCTAGATGACTACTAACCACTTCTCTGACTTGGTTTTGATTTAGTTAGTTAAGTCTAACACACTGTTTAACTCCCGCTTAACGTTACACTTGGTCAAATGTTTTACCTAACGTTGTCACATCAACCCTATTCGTCGTCGATAGCTGACTGCAGGAAGTGGAGCTGCTGATTGGCTGGCCGTCACCCGCTACTTCCTGGTTTATTGCCTAGGAAACTGGAGGGCGGAGGCTCTACTCCGGTACTGTCGATGATGTTTATTTATGTTGATGTTGAGAGTTGTCACCGTATCTTCAATCTCATGATAACACTTAGTAATTAGGGTAGACAGCACATGCATAACTAACTAATGAATAACTAATACATGATGATTTAATGCCAGTAAGTATTCAGATACTTTACTTGAGGAGCTAAAAGTAGAAATGCCACACTGTGAAAAACACTACAAGTAAAAGTTCATGCACTCAAACCCTTACTTAACTAAAAGTAAGTGTTACCAGCAAAATGTACTTCAAGTGTCAAAAATAAAAGTAGTCCTTCTGCAGAAAAGTACTCCCTGTCAGTGTCTTAATGTTACTGCTGCATTAATGTGTATGTTGCCTTTTACTGCTTTGTTGAGCTCATTTGAACTACTTTTTGTACTGAGGGGTAGTTTAATTTACAGAAATGCATCATGTATAAGCTCATTTCCCTTGAGAACCAGGTATCTATCTCTAAAAAGTCAACTTTTCATGAGCTCAGAAGAACAGCCATGTTTTTAGCTTTGTGACAAATTATTTTCCAGCTAATCAAAGAACGGTTTATTACGTTTATCTTTATGAAAAATGACCAAATTTGGACATACATGATTTTCACTTGACAGGAAAAGAGTTGTCAGTCAAAAGTATAATATTTTCCTCTGAGATGTAGTGGAGTAAGTACAAGTCAAATGTGTACTTAAATACACTATTTGAGTAAATATACTTTACATTCCACCACTATTGCTCACCATTAGTATTTGGTCATGCAGGCCCAGGGTGACCTGTGGCCCTTTGCTGCCTGTCATCCCCTCTCTCTGCCCTCGTTTCCTGTCTATCTTCAGCTGTCACTATCAATAAAAAGGCAATAAACCCCGTTTACAATTCGATTCCTAAAGATGTATTAGTTAGTATTTAAATAATTGGAGTAGTAGTGGTGGCAAAACCTGTGTCATAGATCTTATTGCTGTGCTAATCTTTATGCATCTGAAAAGTTCTCTGAGGTAAAAGGAAATACAATCAACAAAAAAACAAAATAATATGAAAGGGTTTCTAAATGTATTACGGTGACACATTCAGTGGACAAATTCCAAGACTGTATGGAAAGAACACATATCTGTGACTGAAGGTGTGACAGTCTGCATAGAAGAAAGATCATTACGTACAACCTAAGATATTTACAAGTGGCAAACATAATGTTATTTGAAAAGACCCTCCCAGATTCATTATAACACCAAATGTAAAACAGGTTAACTCTGTACTCTTTAACTTTGATCCATGTAACAAGTTCATAAATAAATATGAATGTATTACCTTTTGTGCTCGAAAATAGGATCAATATTACTTTGAATACATGGTTTTATTTTTATCTGCTCATACTAGCAACAGAATGGTTTATGACTGTATACAACTTGGTTGTCTACTGAGGTGGTATATATTATATTCATAAAACTCTTCAGGAACAATAATGTTCCTAACTTCACCGTTTTTCTTTTTTAATTGATGGTTCCCAACAACAGTAAAGCACTTTTTGTTTTGTTAATTCTTCGTTGCATTACAATTTAATTTGTATAATTATTCTGTCCCTGTCTTGTTTTATGCATTGTCTTATTCCCACTATTATATATACTGTCAATGATCATTCCCCTGTTATTCTTATTCAAATAAAGTCATTTGAAAAAGAAAAAAAAGATGCTTCCCTGATGCACCTCCATTTATTCGTGGGTTTCTCCCGTAAACATTTCACTGCCTGACTCGACTTCTGTCACCACAGCTTGAACGCCTGGAAACTTAAAGCGTTGCAAAAAAAAAAAAAAAGTGTTGTCGCGCAATCTGATTGGTCGTTGGTGTTGGTTGCGCACTATGCAGCGTTGTGATTGGACGAGGGACTGTTGTTTAAAGACTCCGGAAGAACTGCTAACCTTGACAAGCGAGCACAACACATGCGCTGCTGGTTCAGAAAAACAAAGGATAAAATATAATGATTCCTGACAGTTTCATGGAAAATATCTACCAGGGCTACTGTATGATCTCCCAGCAGTACTTGCGGTAGTGGTTGCTTTTCTCCGCTTGTGAGTTTTTTCTGCGAAAAACTCAATCTTTTAGCTAGCTAAATGAAAGGCTAGCACTTACCAAACCAGTACTGCCGTCTGCACCAGTTAAACACCGTCTGCTGGACTTCATGTTGGCTTCGCCTGCTGTCCAATGATGAGGACTCCTTTTGTGTTTGTATCGAGAAGCTGTAAGGCTGTTCACAGACTGCAATCTTTCTCACCAATTTCAGCTCTGTGGCGACATCAGAGGATCGATGTGTTGAGATACTCGAGCACACATGTCTGCAAAGACGACAGGAGTTACTACATAACCACTCCCATCTTCTATGTCAATGCTGCTCCTCATTTAGGACACTTGTATTCAGCTGTGATAGCTGACTGCTTACACAGGTATAAGCTACTTAAGGGCTTCAACTCAAAGTTTGCAACAGGTAAATCCTCCATCGACCAAAGGATGTATGTGTATGCGACGTGTCTGTCTACTGGCTGCATGTGATTTACAATTTTTTTCACAGCATAAATCCCTACGTTATAGTCACCTTAAAGCTTATATTAGAAACCAATGCACAGAAAATATGTTCTGTTATCTTGCATTTCAGGCACTGATGAACATGGCTTGAAAATCCAACAAGCTGCTGAAGCTGCAGGAAAAGATCCCCTGATCTTCTGCACCGATGTGTCTGAGAGGTTCAAGCATCTCTTCAGCAGCTGCAACATATCGTACACAGACTACATAAGAACCACTGAGCAGAGACACCACGAGGCCGTGAAGCATTTCTGGTCAGTGCTCTGGAACAAAGGGTTAATCTACAAGGGCAGTTATGAAGGCTGGTACTCCACCCAAGATGAAAGCTTTCTCACGCCAATACAGGTGGGCGATGCTTTGGACTCAACAGGAAAGGAGATCAAGGTATCGCTGGAGAGTGGCCACAAGGTAATTGTAGCATATGTGTGAATGAGTGAATGAGTGTAACATTTAAAGGGGATCCCCTTGAGAACTAGATGGTACAACTCAAGGGATTAATCCTAATAAAGAATTTCTTGTAACTTCAGTCTTCTCTCTGCTGTTTTGCAGGTGGAGTGGATGAAGGAGGAGAACTACATGTTCCGTCTGTCTGCACTTCGGTCTCAGTTACTTGACTGGCTCAAAGGAAATCCCCGGGCCATACAGCCAGAGCGTTTCTACCGGGCTGTTCTCCAGTCGCTACAGGTGGACCTTCCTGACCTCTCAGTCTCCCGCCAGAGCAGCCGCCTTCAGTGGGGCATCCCAGTCCCGGGTGACGCCGAACAAACCATCTATGTGTGGCTAGATGCTCTGGTGAACTACCTCACAGTAGCTGGCTACCCAGATAAACACGACCAATGGTGGAACGTGGCCCACCACATTATCGGAAAGGACATCTTACAATTTCATACCATCTACTGGCCCTCTTTTCTTCTAGGGGCTGGACTGCCTCTGCCACAGACAATACATGTGCACTCGCACTGGACAGTAGGAGGAAAGAAGATGTCTAAAAGTTTGGGTAATGTAGTGGATCCCCTTGAACGCACACAGATGTTCACAACTGATGGCATGAGGTACTTTCTTCTGCGTCAGGGTGTCCCCGACTCAGACTGTGATTACACAGATAACAAAGTCATCAAGGTGCTTAACGCAGACCTCGCTGACTCTCTGGGTGGTCTGCTTAATCGTTGCACAGCTCCAGCTCTCAACCCAGCTCAGGTCTACTCCTCTTTCTGCCCTCAGTTCTTCTCAAGTGAACAGAGAGGCAGGGCTGTGGTTGAAGACTACCACATGTTAGAGGATGTGAAAAATCTCCCTGCTGTGGTGGAGCAACACTATGAGAGCATGCATGTGTACAAAGCTCTGGAGGCCATCAGTGCCTGTGTGAGGCAGACCAACGGGTTTGTTCATCGCCATGCACCTTGGAAGCTGGATAACAGGGACAGTGAAGACCAGCGCTGGCTCAACACCATCATCCATGTCTCCCTCGAATGCCTGAGGATTTACGGCACACTGCTCCAACCGGTAGTGCCAGAGATTTCTAACAAGCTGCTGTCCAGACTCGGGGTGCGACCACATGAGAGGAGCTGGGCAGATCTGAACTTCCTGCCAGGGTATCAGGGAATGGACTGTCCTTTTGAAGGGAGAGCGCTAGGATCTCACTCTGGAGTGCTTTTTAGTCGCTTGGAAACTCATAATGTAGATAAACAAAAACCCAAGAAAACAAAGAAATTGAAATGAGGAATTGTTTTTGATGATTCAGTCAATAAAACAATAAAACTCCTGTGGCAGTTTTCACTTGATCTTTTTCAGGATTGTGAGTAGGGCTGCACAATATGGTAACATAATCAAATTGCAATTGGTTTGACAGCTATTGTGATATGATTCACGGTAATTTTTGTATCACTCGTTTTATTTTTACTGAAAGAACTAAATAAAAAAGAAAGAATTAAAATAATGATGATGTGATTTGTTGGGGTCTGTACCAAACAAATTATGTTTTGTTACATCTGGAAAACAAGATTTGTAGGCCAGGCCACAGGACTTATATAATGCTGTGTCTGCCATTTGGATATTATACTCAGCCATACTGCGATTAACTGTGCAGCCTTAATTTTGAGGTGTACAAACGTCTTTCTCACTCTGTCTTTTTAACAGCCAACATGTTGCCAGCTCTACCAGGTGAGCTACCACTATGCCTCAGGTTGTGTTTTTATCTTTTCAATATTTATTGATGTGATGATATAAATTCTCCCAAGGGATGTATTCTTTTCTACCCCAATACTGCAGAATTAAACTCTATGTTGATGTTCGAACACCTTAATTTCAAAAGTTACTCAAAACACAAGTGAGTATAATTTAACATTAGAAGACTGACAAGATGTTTTTGATAGATCAAATCCTTTGATTCCCACTTTGTCATTGACAGTTTTTAAACACAGTATACAGGCAGCCAACACAAGTACAAGACATAAAAACTGACATGATTTTTTAATGAGAAATACACGAAACTGAAAAAATTGTACAAATTGAAATAAAATAAAAAAATTGCATTATTCTTATAATTTCTGGTACTTTTTTACATAGACTTTTCCATTATTAACCATTATCTGTTTACTTCAGAGCAGGATGCCTCCTTTCATAATCCATAATTACACGACTGAAGTCAAGATATTTTCTCAACTCATTGCCTCTGTGGTCGAGATCTCATCTGTTTGGTGGTCCTTTGTGCCTTGAACAGTATCCGTTCCTAACAGCCTACACACGACTGAACACACTCTGCAGAGCTGGACCTCCCCACATGATGAGGGCCTATTCTCCGCACACTACTATGAACAAGCACGATCAGTAATAGGAATTGGTGCCCTGTCCTGGTTGTGTATCTGAAAAGAGTGGAAAAGTTTCATTATAAACATGAAGTCTGCACTGAGATGGAAACAATGACAACTGTAGGGACACGCATAAATGATTTGAAAGTTTCTAACTTACTTGAAAGTTGCTGTTGTAGCTGTCTGACCAGAGCTGCAGTCTGCTGCTGCTGTTGAGTCTGCTGCATTCCCTGTCGTGGGAACTAAAACAGAGATACACGCAACAGTTATTATAGCAATTTTAAAGGTTTGTACATTTTAACCATTGCCTACTATTTGCATATATGTAACATTACTACCAATCATTTTTTGCAAAATGGATCCTCAAGAGTTTTAAGTAAGTAATTCATCAGGGTCCAAATCTCTAGTAGTGCATTTAAGGAGGCAACAATTTTCACAATTTATAGAGTTGGCTACCATAATGCATCTCATTCACAAACTATATGTGATGATTTATTTATCTTTAAGAGTACAATTAAGTGTCAGAATGTCTTGAATGCTAAACCTTAAAAAAAAGAGCACACAGTAATGCATGGTATGTATATCTAGAATGAGTCCTAAAACCCAGAAATTAGTTATTTTTGCATTTCCGTTTTCATCAGAGGTTTTTTTTAAATGGGTTTTTGGTTGGATGGTAAAAATAAGGTCTATGGTTACCACAGTGTGTCAGTAACTCACTTGTGAATTTTGAAGCTTTGACATGTCTTAAAAATAGAGATTGCTAACACGTGGCTAAATGAGACTACAGAAGTTGTTGGGGACATTAAATGTCATCATGCCGAACACATAAAGCTCAAGATATATTTATGCTGTTAGCTTACTACTTCTGCCAATTGTATTTAAGCTTCAAAAGTCACAAAAGTGGTGTTCACTTGTGAAGATTATCTTGCTGAACAAAACATTTAAGTATCATAAACTTTTGTCTGCCAGAGAGCTTATTTTGTGCAGTAATCCAAAATCCAAAGGAAACATCCTGTTGCTTTTTTGTCGAAGGAACCAGGGCAATGCTAACTTTTGGGTTGGCCCAATTACATTATCCCTGCAGCACTTTACACATTTGTTGTTAACTGGCAAAAAACATTCAAAATTCCTAGCATGATATTATAATGCAAAGCATACATTGACATTTTTTCGGTAACACTGACAGACGAAAAGCAACCAAAGCCCTTGTAGTTCCTTTCCAATTCGACATACAACATATTGTAACCTAAAACAATCTGACAGACAATATTGCTACAAATGTTTGTCAACACGAGACAGGAAAAACAAAAAGTCTCTTACACTATTATCCTACCAACAACTGGACTAGTGACGGTCCCTGTCACCTTGATTGGACCTACCATGGGTTGCTGGGGGGGCAGTGGCTGCATGCCCAGGCCCTGGTTCTGTGCCTGGCCTGGTGGTGGCACTGCTGACACCTGTTGCTGTTGCTGCTGCTGCTGCTGCTGCTGCTGCTGTTGTTGTTGTTGTGGAACTTGCTGTTGAGGAGGAACTTGCTGGGGCTGGACCTGCTGCTGCTGCTGTTGCTGCTGTTGCTGCTGCTGCTGTTGTTGCTGCTGTTGTTGTTGTTGTTGTTGTTGTTGTTGCTGTTGCTGAACTTGTTGGGCCTGCTGCTGCTGTTGTTGTGAAAACGCAGTAAAGAAATAATGGTTGGTGTTTGAGGTACACGTGGTTGTACAAGTTAATAAATGTGAAGAGTTTTTATCTTTTCCAACTTTTTATAAGAGGAATTTCTGTATATCTGTCCATTTATTCTAGTTATGATCAATTCTTTACTTACTCTTGACCCATTCATTTTAAAAACCTTAAAAGTAGTAGCAGAACAACAGGTTCAGGTTACAGCATGGAGACAGCACTCCTTAATGGTATTCTATTAGCAGCTGACATCTTACTGTAGCTTTCGATACAGCTGACAGATGACTCTCTGAAAGGACTCTGTTTATATGCTGCCTCTAGTTCAAATCTTTCAAAACAACCATATCAGTTTCTGTTTCTATGCAGATGACTCCAAGATCTATTTCTCTTTTAATTCCAACCACACAATGCAATTTAGCAAACTATAAACAAAACGAAGTTCTGTTGATTAATCTTTGGCCATTATAATCACTTGCAGGTTCACATTGTGTATATTGTTCTTATTTATTATTTGGTGAAATTATGTACATGAAAATTATGTACATGTTTTTAAAGCTACAGAAGGCAACTTCAAACACCGGCAGTTCCAAATAAGAGCAAAACAACCTGAATTTCCAGGACTTAGGAATCAGGTGATGCAAGAAAAGTAAACAAACCCACTGATGTTTACCAATTTGTATCCAAATATTGATTTACTTTCATGTTTTTTTTGTGCGTTTTAATAAAGCACCCCTAAAAGAATGAGCTTCTATACAGAAACACTGGTTTGCTTCAGGGTTACATAATTAAAAAAGCAAAAAGCCTTCACGTTCAAGTTCCTAATGAAAAGTAATAAACTGAACCAAAACATAGCTTAAGAGCTGGAAAACTTAATATGATCCAAGTGACATACTCTGAGTGCTTGTTGTCTGAGGTACTGCTGCTGTTGCTGCTGCTGCTGCTGTTGTTCTGCCAGCATCTGATTAGGCCTCAAGCCTGGATGTACACCCTGGCCTCCCATGTGACTGAGACCATGCATGATGGGATTCTGCTGTATGGGCTGGTGGGCAAACCTGAGGTTTACAGGACAGGAGGAAGAAAAAGAAATATGAGAAAAATCTGCAATGCACACTCAAACACTGCTAAAACAACGTCAACCATTTGCAACTGGACTTGCTTGGAGTGCTACTAAGCAACTAACAAAGCAGCAGCCTTCCTTCCTTGCAACAAAATACTGACCTCTGTGTGTTCTGCATATTGTGTACGTAGCCTGGAGCCTGCTGGTGAACGTAACCACTGGGCCTCTGTTGCATTTGCCTAAGAGGATCCACCACAGCTGGATTGGTTCCAGGGTGGGTGCCCTGGAAGTTTTGGTTCCCATATGAGGAAGGAACTATACCACCACCTTGGGATGGATGCTGCTGCATCCCCATGTGTGATCCATACGTGGTATAGCCCTGAGATATGTTCTATGAACAATGAGACATAAGACAATGTAGATAATTAAAACCAATATAGGAAAGGAGACCATTATTGTTTTATTGATAGTGTCCAAGTGTGAACGGAATCCTGTTTAAACATGTAAACATCCTTTTTACATTTGTCGACATTATGGTGTATAAATAATATATATCATATTTATTAAGAATAGAGGATGATCAGATGACAAATGCATTTATTAGCAAAACAAAAGAAAAGCAACTAAATAGACGTACCTGAGATGCCTGCATTGAAGTATATGGTTGGTTGGGTGTTATTTGTCTAATTTGCTGCCCTATCATGCCCTGATTCTAAAAAGAGAAAAAAACAAGTCAGCCAATAGCAAATATTCATTGCCTTCTACCAGGTGTAAAGGATAATTCTTATTTTCCTTTTTATCTGATTTGAAAGCAATTTTCTTCACTCAAAACAACCATATTGTATTTGTGTTAGACTTGAACACTGAATTTAAGCAGCAATTAGAGAATCAACTATCGTTACTAGCTACTGCTTTTAGTCAACTCTATTTGACTGTAACGAGTAGCTTAAGCTGACATTGCACACTGACTCACCAGTCTGACCTGTAGCTGCTGCCGCAGTATCTGGCCCTGTGGCATGCTAGGCTGGGGTTTATAACCCATTTGGTATTGCTTGTCCAGACCCATCATGCCAGGCATGCTCCCCTGCATGCCGGGCATCATGCCTGGGTAGCTGGGTCGGGTGGGCATCATCTTGTTCATCTGTGGGTTGCGGGCAGGTCTGTATGGAGGTTCTAAACCTGGACCTCCTATGGAAAAACAAATTATGTAAACCTAAATCCCAG